AATTTCTAATTCCAATTAGTAATATGTGATATCATGGGTCACTGATTGCATATCAAACTATCAAATTAGAAATGCCATTAGACAGAGCTTTTCACTGGAAGCATATATTGTATTCAGTGGCAGAAGTGTGTTGTTTACTCAATGCGCAACAAAGGCATTCTCTTCATCTTTATAAATATTTATCAATTGCAATGTCAGATATATTCAACCAACCAACCAATCAATGAGCACAATGTGCAAAATCAATTGAAAACATTCCTCTGTTATTTAATCAGCCAATAAAAACCTCTTGTTTCAATTTGAATTGAGAAATTTATGAATATTTATAAAGATGAAGAGAATACCTTTGTTGTGCTGAGAGTATGTTTACAACATAGACAGTAAGTAATGTACATGTATTACGTTAAAACCAACCTCAATAATGTAGTCTTTGCCATCTTTACCATGAATGGCTTCTACTGCAACTACCTCCAAGCCACCAAATATCTCACAGCATTCATCAACCCAGAATTTAAATCTACAGATTACAAAAATGAGCCATCATTAATGCCACAGCACCTGTTGTATTTAGTAAAAGTAGTGTCTATGGGTTTCAAAACACTGTTCCTTCTTGGGGTGTAATGATTCTGTGACGTAAATGGATGCAAGAAGTGCTATTCACATTGTCAATATTTTTTTGATATGTTGGTGTCCTTCTAAACAAAATACTGTTTTTGAGAGATTTACTATATCCTAAATGAAATCAGATGAATGAAATAGTGATGTCTATTTGAATGACACACATGTTATTTGACATCACAGAATCACTTTGATACAAGATGTTGCAACTTATAGTTATTGGTTCATAAAACAAGATGATTGAATCAACCAGATATCTTCTTCAAGCCAAATCAGTCCGATGAATTAAATTGTGACAAAATTGGTGGTGATAAACAATTTGTTTTTATCATACTCTTTGATTTGTTGTATATTGTTTGCAAATTATTTACTCCAGGATATACATATACTATTAATAGACTTTCTTGATGGGATATACATCCACTGTAAACCATGATCACAATGACACCTCCATGTCTTCTTTTCTGGCTAAGGTATTGTTCAATGTACTTACCTATCTGTAACAGCAATTTGTTCCAACACAGATGATCCAGTATTTGCTTTCCAGTTACCAGATATAGATGTCCTCCTATCAACAAAATCATATTACAATGAAGGCTTTCTTTAAATATAATTTGTTTTATATGAATACTGATAAACAGGAAATAGGGGAGGGGGAGGGGGTGGGGTGAATTGTGTTAGGGTTGTTTAATTCTTCACCATAGTTGTCTGTCGGTGTGACAGCAAGAGTTGTTAGAGGGTTTAAACCTTTGATAAATTTTATCATCTTTGACTTGATCTAATGTACAATTGAAAAAAGGATAAAAAAGTATATGAAAAAATATCACAATGTTGTACATACATACTTCAGACTGCAAGCAATTTTAACGTTGCTTACAAGTAGCACCTTTCTACACCAAAAGAGTAGAAACTTCTATTAAGGTAGAAGCCTAGTCATAATTTTTGACAAAATTGGTCATAAATCGCATGACTATGTTCATTAGTTTGTTATGTACAATCATGAAGCTAATGTCTCATGGTACAATGAAATAGCATTATTTTGTGTGTTACAGTTATGCTTTTTTAGAAACATGCCCTAATATTTCTTGAAAATTGCTATTTTTAGAACATTTACATAGAACACAATGTTAAAGAAAAACTGCATTTTTTGACACTTTTTAAAACCCAGATTTTTTAAATAATTCAAAACAACAAAAAGTACTCCATCATTAACAATATATGATTTTTTTCAGCCTATGTCACCAGGCTAGATTTTGAGATATTGCATAAATATCTCTGCCATAGAAACCTGTGGTAAAAGCATTATAATAGTGTCAAAATGGCGATTTTCCACTAAAATAAAACCATCAATTTCTCGAAAAAAAAAATGCTGGTGACACCCAACTTTTTTTAGGTCAATATCCTTCTATTGCCTTGGAGTACAATTTATTGCAAAATGAATAAATTCTGGGTTTGTCAATTTATGAGTAGGCTTCTACCTTAATAGCAGCCAGCATACTTACATGAATGCTTTGTAATTAGTTCCAATTTTTTGTATTCTTATATCATATTTGGCATCAATATAAGGCTCTATGGTAGCATAACAGTTGGTAACAGCTACAACACTGGCTATGTCTTGAAAATCATGGTGGTTTTCAACTCTTACCTGTCACAATACAAGAATAAAATTGTCACACAAGTTAATAAATACATTATATAGTTTTGTTTAATATAGAATCTTACTGAGATCTTTCCATCTTCTTTGAAAAGAACTAAAAACATTACAAGAGATAATGGTTAACAATTCTAGGTATTGATAGCTGAGCAACAGAACCCAATAATAATTTAATTAAGTTACCGGGGGTATAGCCAGAAATGGCAAATGAATAGATAATCTGTTGCATTGTGAAAATATTTGCATTCTTTGACATTTCTGCTGTGTGATGACATGATCTATGTGAACAAAGAAATGTGATCGAATGTGATTCAATAAGCTGGAATAAATCCAATGTTGGTGCAAAGTTTACCCCATATAAGGCAAAGTATGGAGTACTGATATAATCTTCAGAGCCAATGCTGATATTATGTTTTTCACTGAAAATGATATTATATTCTATTCCTATTTGTAGCTAGATATATAATAAGGCAATGCACGGTAATTATTTATTAGATTATAAAACCTAGTGAATTGATCAAATATCAAATGAAATCAGTAAAAATTAATACTTTGACAGTCTGTGATTGCATATTGTTATTTCTGACAAGCAATGTCAAAGTAGGAAATTACTGGTATATGTTCACCAATTCAAACAGATGTGCTTAACCCTCTAGATGTGACAAAATTATGAGGTGCAACTCCCTCTGGGAGTGACCATATGATTGTATACAGCACCCTCTAGAGATGGCAATGATAACGTGCACACTCTCCAGAGTGAATAACTGGCAATGTACAGCACCCTCTAGTGGTGACATGACATTTCAACACATGTAAGAACATGATTTTCTGTTCACAGTGGGATTCTTTTATGAATGAAATCAAACATAAAAATATAAGGCAGACAAAGGTCATAGCCTCATAGTGACATTAAAGCTACAAACATGAAAATATTTTGTGGGCATTTCCAAGCTGTAAACATTTGATGATGCTCAATTTTGAAAGCTATGTCAACACCATATTTCTCTCTGAAAGATAGGCATTTTGACATTGAACTTTAAAAAAGAGAAATTAAATCATTTGATTTTTGTGGCAGATGTTCGATTCAATTCTTTCACACATTACGCAAGATCGGAAAATCACATAATGAAATCTGGTTGTTAATGTTTTCAAAAAAATGGTGGTAATTAAAAAAAAACACATCCTAAGAACAATATGACCCTCGAACTTGACTGTTGTTTATTGTACAATTCTGGTAATAAATAAAAGTATCAATAATATGTACATCTCTTACAAATCTGTTGAACACAGTGTATCACATATGAAGAAAGAATTTGCCTTAACAGACTCTAGGTGGCACTCTTCAT